CTTTAGCACCAACGCTATATTGCCTTATATGTATTAGCTCGGCGCTAGCGCGACAAACAAGCTAAACTGAGGTCCTCCATTTATATTTTTAGTTGCAGACTGAGTCGTTTCTACCTTCTCTCTGTCAACGCTCTCTGGTTTCATTTAAAAGAGTCGATCATCAGATATTGTCCAAGATTAACCTTCAGGGTGGATATAGCTCACTCACACTGAGGACCTATCCACGTCATCATTTACCCAGAATGCTTTGCATGTAAATAAAATGGCCCTGTCCGTGTTAAAATATAGTTTTAAAAATTTACAAAACTAAACAGCCTACAGTATTTTTACTGTCTTTATTTTACGGGTAAAATCAATGTTTTTCAAATTAAGTCGAATGTTACAACTAATCATGGATCCCTTTAAGATAAGTCTCCAATATTCCCACATAATGTTTTATTCCACATGATGCCATCGATATTTGTGAAGTGCACCAGTCCCTCCTGCAGCAAACAAGCCCACAACACAATGCTGCCACCSCCACACTTCATTTTTGTAATTGTGCAAGCTTCCCTCTGTATTCTCCAAAAGTAACAATTAACAAAAGTGAAGTAACAACAATTATGGTCTGTTTGGGTAATGGCTTCAGCGTCATTAAACTGACTTTAAGCCCATAATAACCCTTATAGTGTGACATCACACTCTTTAGAAAGTGTCCCACTACAACACATCAAAACAACCTTTGTGAGTGTAAACTCCTGTACAGCTAGTCAGAAAATAAACAGCTGATAACCTAAAATCRCTTTTATTTAGTTGATTTGTCTATAAAAATGATCATGGGGTGAATATACAGTATGTGAACACTTTCAAACTCTGACCAATCTGAAGCCTCAAAAATCCTTAATTTTCACAATACTGTTTTATTCACACACAACAGAAGGGGTGGGGACTTCAAACAGACTGCTGGCTGCAAGGAGAGACATAATGGGAAAGAAATAACTGCCTGCATCACAGAGGAGCAGGGAGGAGGACGGGGAGAGGTTCAGACACGTTAACCCTTTAGGGCCCAGATTACAAACATTGACTGAAATGTGGTAAATACATATTTTTCAGTGATTAAGAGGAAGATTTTTGGACAGTTGCATTTTTTAACTGTTGTCTTAAGAGTTCTTCTAGAGTTCTAATGATTATTAGAAACAGGGCATGATTTGAGGATTTCACTGATATTTTATTTAAAACATGTCACAGAAGTCAAAAGAGGCAGGTTTATTTGGAAAAAACATTACTAATGTGTTCATTCCTATAAAACTGTCAAATATATTTACAAACAACACTAAACTGATTCAGATCAACATCAAATAAATCATGTTTTATAATTAAATGTCTGTTTCCTGCTGTAAAGAAAAATYCTCCTCCTGTCCTTGATCCTAATCAGGGTCAGAGTGGGGCTGGAGCCTGTCCCAGGGGACACCTGGACAGGTCTCCAGTTCATCAGAGACACCTGAACAACACAGTGCCCCCACCCACACACAGTCTGGTTTGTATATCCATGTGGGGACCGTGGATTGACTTCCATTCATTTTTTGGAAATTTTATTTCCTAACCCTGACCATTTACCCTAAAATTAACTTCTCAGGTGCCTACCTGACCCTAAAACTAAACCTTGGTCCTAAACCTAACCCCACATCTGTAATTTGCATTTGGACACGTGGGGACCAATGCCAGGTCCCCATGATTCACTTCGGTCCCCACCAGGCTGCTTTTTTTTTGGGAAAATTGTCCCCACGTTGTAGGAAAAGCCTGTCC